CTTATACGAGGCTGAAAACTGTTTGCAATTGGGGTTATTATTATAACCACCCATCGACCGAAAGCAAGAGAATAATATTTCTAGATGATCCTGGGACAATTTATAAGTTATAATGGCTGATGCAACGCGACTTATATATATATAAAATACTGGTGACACTGGCAAGGACCACGTGACGACCTATTAGTTATTGGCCCAAACTCAGAGTGCGCTGTTCAATGTCGTCTACGGTCAGATCTCCCGACTAGCAGTCCATATTTATATAGTCAAAGATGTAGTATTAATGTTATAGAGATTAGAGATATTCTACATAAGGTATATAGGTTTCTAGCATATTTAATGCTATGTTACTCAATTGGTTTTTTCAATTTTTTTTTTCACCAAGATCAACATTTTTTAACATGTTCGAACGTTCATAAACAAGTTCGTTAATTTTTATTTCACTTACATAGACTAGTTTCAGTGGGATGAAAAGATGATTTAGTTGCGCACATGCAAGAATAAGTCAAACGCACAAATTTTTTATCCTCCACAGTTGTATTTGGTGACCTAGATTACAATGAAAATATTTTCAGATATAACATCGACGTAGAGATAGTGTTCAATAGATTGCTTAAGTGTTTTTATACGCGCAAGATACACATAATAATTGTATAAGTAGATGACACAATATATATAGCACGATTTCACAATATCCGATCACTAACTACCAACATTTAATAGTCGTTTTATTTTGAATGTATATATATATATATTTTTTTTTTTTCACTCTTTTATTTTATACACATAGAATATCATATATATATATATAACGACACTGACTATATATGTACACATATGCACGCACACATATATGTACATATATTTAAATATGTATATAATTTTTTTTGTATACATATATATATATCTGCTCTGTTGTATCGTATAATGTTTTACAGAATATAGTAATAATGCGTATTTTGTAATATCGAATGTGTATAATATCGCAAAATGTGCTCGCGCTCGGTCCGTAAAAAAATGACCTTCGTTCTTCCGTTGTTTCGCAACGATGGAGCCGGTTAAGTTATTATAATATCGCACGGCGAATCGAAATAGCAGAGTATATTAACAGGAAATCACAATGAAAAAATCCAAGATATATAAACTTCCAAGCTCAATATTTCTTCGTATTTCTTCGTTACGATATTACGAAATTCAATTCGAAATTGAATTCCCCGAAATTGAATTCGCTGTAAAAATTTTTCAACAAAATTTTAAATCGATTGAAAACCGATAAATATTCGCTGTATACTTCATTTATGTATTATCAAACGTCTCGATCCCGATAATTTCTTTCTTTCTTTTTTTTCGCGATAGTTCCTTAATGAGAATGATCCTGCTTCTAATGGCGATTTAATTTTTACGTTTCTAACGGTGACTTCTTGAACGTTCTTCTCTTCATCGAACTTTTCTATGAATCGATCTAGTACGCGTGGTTGGCGACAAAGAGCGCCGCGTCTCCCGCGGCGCCGGAAACACCACCCGCGTACTTGCCAAGCGCCGACTCGCTGTTAGCCTGTAAAAAAAACAAAAACAAAATAGATGTATTGTGTCGCCTTACAGTGTAGCCGAGAGAGTTGTGTCCGTCGGGACGCAACTTCATCAAACAATTGCGAAATGAAGAGATAAGTCAATTATAAGGAAGATAGAAAAGAAAATAACAGAAAAGAAATGATAGAAAAAGATAAAGACTTGAAAGAAAAAAAGATATTGCGAAAGAATTTAAATGCCGCTTATTTTGTAATTTTATATAACGTAATTCATAATTTGTATACGTGCAATCATATACATGTATAAATTATATTTACATTTTTACATAAGATGTGTAAATATATATAAACGCGCGAGCGCGCGCGTACACACTCACACTCACACACACACACACACAAGAGAAACATTCAACATTAATCTACTGTACTTACTGACATAGAAAACGAACTGTGCGGAAAAGTGAGATTTTGTTTTTTTAGTAGGCGTGAGCTTTGACGAAGTTCGAGGCATCAGCGGCTTTGCTAGAAATGCTGCCGGCGACGTAATTGCCTTGGCAAGCTAAACCGTTCGCCTAAACAAGCACACATTATACAGAACATGCAAAAGAATTATATTTTGTTTCGTAGCCTTGAGTGATCGTTACAAACGACGACTGAAGAAAATTATGATTTTTTTTTTCTCAGAAAGAAAATTGCGTTTACGAGCAGACGAGTGGTAAGAGCAAACTTGCAAAAGTAATTCAGAACATAAACGTTAGAATGGAAAATTACTTTGAAAGGTAAAACAGAGATCAAAGGCAAACAGCTATTACATCTACGGATGCAGAAGATAAATAGATAAGAGAAGAAGTCAATACGTAGAATGTATAAATATAGAACGTTAAACGAATCTTAAAAGACTGAGCAAACTCAAAAACGTGTAATCTAAAAATGTTAAGTCTCTGTTAAGTCTCAATTACTATATGTGTTAATAAGAATAAAAAATTACACGGAAATATTTAATGAAATATTAAAAAAGAGTGAGAAGGCTAGTGTGAATTAAGAATCTTTATATTTTTTAAGTTTTTCAATTTATTCTCAGCGTTTCAATCCGAGAATTTTATGAAACAAATTTAATTTTTAAGTATTTTTAATTTCGAATCACCGTGCTTCGGACCGTGTGTGTCAAACACTGTTCAAATTGCAATAGTAATTGAGAATTAATGATAACAAGATCTAATTAGTACCAAACAGTAGGAAACATCTATCTCGAAGGTCGTTCGTCGTACTCACCTTGGCTCTCTTCAACAATTCTTGCTGACCGGCAGCGACCTGATCAGCCTTGCCCTGCCAAGCACGGAGTACAGAAGCCTGAAGAGCGCGCCCGTAGCTGAATGTCAACGCCCAGGGTTTCTTCGCCGGGTGTTTGTTGATGGCGTCCAAGTTGACTGACGCCTCTTCTTCAGACTGACCGCCGCTGAGGAAGGTGATGCCGGGCACCGCCGGTGGCACGGTGCGCAGCAATGCTGTCACCGTGGCGGCGGCGATCTGCTGGGGAGTCGCTTTGTTCGGACAGCTCTGACCCGGTGTTACCATGTTGGGCTTCAGCAACGTTCCCTCAAGATACACGTGATGATCCGCGAGCGCCTGGGGAGAGCGAATGTCGCATTATAAGAAACGAAAATGCAATCGTTGTCTACTAAAAGAAAGAATGCAAGTACGATTGCAAGCGGATCAACACCTTGTAAACAGCTGCCAAAACCTCCTCCGTGACCTGTTGGCAACGGGCGAGGTCGTGGTCACCGTCAGGAAGAATTTCGGGCTCCACAATCGGCACAATCCTGGCGCTCTGGCAGATAGAAGCGTAGCGTGCCAGCACATTGGCATTCTCCAGGATTGCGAGTTTGCTCGGCGTGTCCTTCGTGATCTTCAAAACGCATCGCCACTTAGCGAAGTGGCAACCGTCCTTCTTGTACTGGATGCAGCGCGCCTGGAGATCGTCAAGGCCCTGGGTCGTGCATTCGTTGTCGGTGCCGAAGAGCGGAACGACGCCTTTGTCGACTTTGATACCTGGGATGATATTACGCTGCTTCAGCAGCTCGACAAACGGCGTGCCGTCATCAGCCTTTTGATAGAGCGTTTCGTGAAAGAGGATCACGCCGGAGATGTGCTGTCCGATGACATCCTGAGAATGAGTAAGGGTTTAACTTTTTTTTACGATCGTGACATTTCTCGCTAAATCGATAAAACACAATTCGACGATGGATGAAAAATAAAAAGAAGTAAAAAAGTAGTGAAAACAATGTCGTATATAAAAAATTTTATATTATATAAAAATGTTTATATAAAGCTGTTTTATATAAAGCTGTTTTATATAAAAATTTTATATAAAGATCATCTTTTTTTTATATAAAGATTTTTTTAAGATTTATATAGATCATCTTTTTTATGCAAATAAGATGATCGACCATCATTCGAAAATTTGGCAAGTTTTTTGTATATGAATTCGATTAATTCGATCGTACCTTCGCTGTGGTGAAAAGAAGTTGCCTGTAAGCCTTGCGGTTGTCCTCGGTGTTCTCGACATTGATGTCCTGTAAACGTTTGCCGATCGTTGTGGTTGACTCGTCAGCGGCCAGAATTCCTCTGCCGGGCGCCACGATCTGTTGGGCGATCGTGCGCAATTCCTCCGCCAGCTCGGGTTCGAGCTTGCCGTACTTTTCTGCGACCATTTTCCTTAATACGCGAGGATCACTCTAAATTAAGCATTTAATTACAAAACTATAATTAAATAATTTGAAATTTATGTGACAATTGTGTATATCAAAAAGATCTGAAGCAAAAAAGCCGTGTTCGTGACTCGAAAATAAAAAATCACCTTTCTATTGACAAATGTCAGTCCCCGTCGGGCTGTACAGATAAAAAAAAAAAAAAATAAATCAATCTACATTTATAGATGGTCCGGAGGAATTGCTAACTCCATCCAGTTCTTGAAAAGGAATCCGAGATTACCCGGCGAACCGTAACGTGCACTTTTATCGGATTAACGAGAATTCCCACACGAATGTCGTCCAACTAATGAAACGACACTCCGGAGACGGTAATGCCTTTAATATTACAAATGAAACCGACAGATCGCATCGTGAAATGAAAATACGCGTTGATGGTCTCTTAGCTCGTCCATGTAATATAACAGCCGTGAAATAATTGCGGACGTTTATATATATATATATCTCCATGTATACAGTCTATACGTATCTACCATTTTATTTAAATTTTTTTGAAGTATTCTATAAAAAATTAGTATTTATATATTTATTAACGTGGTTTTGATGTTTTATCTCAAAACCAATTCTTTTGTATGTTTTATAAACGTAATAAATAAAAATACACAGTAATAAAACTGTGTATTTTTACGGTAAGTGGATCATATATGTACAAATATACAAATTTTATTATACGATTGCCGCGAAATCAAAATAAAAACACAGTTAAATAAATATAATCACATCAATGAAAAAAACGTAAAAATATTAATAACACATCCTAACAAGAATAACGCAAAGTGTTTCAAAAAAGGCAAATTGCTAATTTATACAATCTCATACCCATTTATTTGAAATTCAAACATTTTCACCGCACGACGATGAGATTTTAGTATGCCAACAGGACATACATAAATAATAAGGCTAAAGATAACGCGCGAGAGCTCGGGCGAACTCGTGTGCCGATGGATTTTCCTCTATTTGCGCGCACAAATTATGATGCATGAAATAATAATACCAGAGGATTGATAGACATAGTCTAGTTCTACACACGCGCGAACACGGATCCGCGCGATATTACAAACTTTCACCTTGTCCTTTCTTTTTATCGCAGAAAAATCAAAGTTCAAACCAAGAAGGTCGTTAATATAACGAACTTGTTGAAATTATTCAGTTATCCTCCGGTCGAGTTTTGCGAGAGAGATTGAAAGGGTCAACGTTTTAAGAAGTTGAAACTTCCGACTACGCTTTCGTGTTACAAAGAATGAAAGCAGCTTTTATTGAAGCGCGCTTGTTGCCTCTCTCTCTGAGGAGAGATCCACGTCAGAGAGTGGTTATTAAAATTGCAACACAGAACAAGATACCGAATCGAAGAACCACGTGAAAATTAACTGAGGGTGTTGTTGCTCGCTTTCAATTAGAATAATTGCGATCTTATCATTCTTTTTATTATAATTAAACGTAATATCTCTCATCTCTAACAAGCGACGATAGACACACGTTCAGATAGACACGGTGTTTGCAACTTGAATGAACAGGGAGTGTTAGTTTGAGGGAAACCAGAATTATATATCCAATCGATTATGCGTTATAAATAAAATTTCTGCAAAATTAGTCGCATTATTATTTTTATACCCCGATCTCCGTGTATACAACCGATACACGGGTGTGAAGACTCTCAAACTTTCGTCCTCGCTACAAAGTTTTCACATTGCGTGCGCTCGAGCTAAAAAATAATCGTTGAAAAGCGATATAAGATCAATTTTTCAAACGTACCCACCGACAGAAACAAAGGTTGTTGCGATTCCGTCAAAAATCAGTCATAATAAATTAGGACGCGGCACCTGGACGACACCACCGTTGGACCACGTGTATATATATTTATGCGGAAGAACGAGAGTGCGATAAAAAGAATAATAATAATAATAATAACAAATTCACCGCGCACATGTCGGACAAACGTACGTACGTAGTCGCGAACGGCGGAACCGTCGCGACAATCACGGTGCTATATCAATGACATTTATCACCGCAATGACGAACGTGCTCATTGTTCGCCGGACGCCGGCCGGATGTTGTTTTGCAATCAACCCTCGCCGAGATGTTTTTTTTTTTTTTTTTTTTTCGCGCGACAATCAGATCACAACGGAACAACAGGAGCGACGAGCAATCATCTCCGTGCATCTCTTTTGACGGATGATCAATCGCGAACACCGATAACGAGAAAGAGAGATACCGCGGGAGTTAAAACGAAGAGAATAAACAGTATATTGATAAAATGCGATCGCGCGCGCTTCGCTACGACGCACCCCCCCGGAGTCGTCGGAGAGAGACCGCGACGGGGTGGTCGGCCCCGCGTAGGCGGGATATCCGCCCGTTCGACTACATCTTGCCCGCACGTCGTCCCGAGACGGAATAGATAGACTCACGGAGACGCGCGTACTAACCGCGCCGCTGCGAGTAGCCGACTGTGTCGTTTCGTCGCTCGGTATCCATCCCCCCGATACGGCATCCTCGCAGGCAAAGGGGTGGGTGTACCTGGCTGCAGTGCAGTGTCGTATAACTGCAAGGCAGGGGGAATCGACGGAGAGGTGAGAAGGGTGAGCGAGAGAGAGCGGTCAGGGGTATATAACAGAAGACTGGTTCTGCACCGTTGTGTTGGCAGAAGAAAGAGAGAAAGAGAGAAAGGGAGAGAGAGAGAGAGAGAGAGAGAGAAGGGCGAGAGGGTGAACTAGCCGCAATGCAGCACGCGCAGACGTTCTCGATGCTCCGGTACACCCCTGAATTCCCTCCTTGCTCACCCCTGAATCGGAGTGACCTGAGATACCGGCGTCGCGAAGATTTGACGATTCGCTGCTCGTCGACGTAAAACGCGCGCGCAATTCACGACCGGTTTTTGTCAGTGCGCGGATATTCGCATAAGACACAGTCAAACACTTGATCTTAACATAATTCGGTTTGAATAAATTGAAGAGTACACGGAGGAGATATATTTGTCTTTTCTATGCGAAGATTAAATCTTAATGTAAAGAAACACTGCGCTTTCGTATTTTCTTGAGAGAATAAATTACGCGCAACTTCTTCTTCTTCTTGCAAAGTAGCGGAAATATAAATTTTCAACTTAGAAAAGAGAGAAAAGAATGCAAGACGTACGTGTAATATTTATTATGTGGAGATCTCTAGATTTTAAATTGCATCTAATATTTTTTTTGTTTTTTTTGTTTTTTGTTTTTTTTTAATTAAAATCCGAGGCAAAACACATTTCTTGCCGAGATTTACTGCCGGAGTATACAGCATCATTTGCTCCACTACTCGTATTTTCAAACGTGTAATATGAAGACATGAGAACACGGTACGTATCGCGTTTCAAATTTTAAATTGTTTGCTTTCGAGATGATAATTAACACGGAATAATGTATATATACACACGTTGTGGATGGTAAAACCACCGTATAACAACAATAAATCGTAATGGAGAGCAACAAAAGCGACAAGTATCTATTTTGCGCGCCAGTAAGTCACCATATTTATTTGTTACGTCGCGGTAATTTTCGATATTTTGAAGGAACATTATTTAAGGGGGAACAGCGACGCTGTCGAGTATTACTTTACGGTCACTCTTGGTCCATTCTAAAAAAACTTTCCGGAATGTAACGTCGCACGCGGTGAAGATGAAAATTTACGATCACGAAGAAATATGAGGCTAGAGGGAGAACATACAGTGTATGTGTGTGTGTGTGTGTGTGTGTGTACATATGTATATGTATACATATATCTCGCCACCGCCGAGAGAGGGTTGCGGGATAACGGTGAGCCAAAATTACGTAAGTTCGGTTTATTCTCTCTTCTGGCTCTGTGTATAAAACTTTCTTTCAATAAAATTATTTAATTGCACACTTTTACGATTTATCGTAAAGGAAAAAAGTCGCTTTTAAACAAAATAATGGCAAAATATACATTTAATATATAATATTATAAGATTGCAGTCTTGTGTCTCTTACAGTAAGTGTAATATATAACAACACGCGAGATGAAAAAAATTGCTTGAATATTTTCCTGGAAAAATTTTCTCAGTAAAATATTGTCCTTGCACACGAGAGCCAATTGTATAAACACAAAACATTTCATTGTCTTTTCAAAATTCTCAAAGAAGAACTCGTCCACTTTTTGAGAAAACAGAAGCAATTGTCTCTTTCGCATTGAATTGCATTATAAAGTTCATTCAAGAGAGACGGGAGAGATTTTCTCGCGAGTGCCGAGAGGAGAAGACAGGATATATATCCTCATGATATACACGCCGCAAAATTGGACGCAATGTCTGCGGTGTTTCCCGCTCAGTAAACGTGCAACATGATGCAATTTCTTTTTTTTTTTTTTTGTTGTCTATTAGGCGCACAACTAAATCTACGCAATTTTTCTTTCTTTGTGAGAAAAATGATCGTGTTTTTTTTTTAACATCTATATGTAACAAATAATCAAATATATTTTATAGAATAAAAAAACGTTAAAAAGTCAATGAAACGATCAATTGGAGATTAGAAAACAAGTGCGCTCGAAAAATATACAATATTAATATTTGAAAAAAAAAGAGAAAGAGAGAGAGAGAGAGAAATTTGTAATCAAAGAAAAATTTATATCCTTGATCAATAATTCTTTGATAAAAAACCGTCCCGACAAAAACAACTATTTTTATCTTCATTGTGTACGACAGTAATAAACGGCCCCGAAATAGCCACAGATTTGGATCGCGGCGCTGTGAACGGGTCTGCGTTGCGCTGTTTTCCGCGCACAACGGTCACCGCAAATATGATATAACATGTAATGTAATTACGATATATGGATCACACATACCGCACATGTAATCACATTTCGCTGTTAATCATTTATTACGCCCGACTTGTTGACACTGTCGAGAGTTCGAACTAATTTTGTTTCTTTAAATTTTTATCCGTAAAATGTAATTATCGTCGATGTCAAAAAATGCTTTCGCGCAAATCACAAAATTAAAAAACTAAAATAATAAACTTTTGCGAGAAAGAATTTGAGAGGGTGGAGAATATATTTACACACATGATAATGCTCATCTCATTATGTTGAATAATATATTGCGTGCGATTAAAGCTCGAGAAAAAAATACGTGTATTGCGCGATCTTATGCAAATCGTTTTCGCGTACAGTAGCGCCGTGTTTACCGAGCTGTGTGTGTGCGCACACGCGAAAACGCAAAAAGAGAGAGAGAGATATGTGAATTGCATCGTTGCATAATTCTGCATTAATCGCTGGGTAATTCGTTTGCCGCGGAACGGAGAGAGCGATTTTCATTCGGAAAAGCGCATTCGTCGCATTACCCGCTATGGTGCCTCCGCTGTCTGGAACCACGTTTTTTTTCGACGTTCAATACGAGTCGATATCACATACGTCGGCATTACAGCACGCCGCGACTAGCCGAGACGGAGGAGGCTTTGCGACACACGCTTGCGCGTTATTTCCCAGCTCGTATCCGAGTAGGAGTAGGTTCAACATCGTTGCTTGCGCGAACCCGAGAACAGTTTTGCGTGCATTCGTTTGTGCGCATGTAGCGTCAAGTCTCTGTGAAAAGACCGACTCGAGTCGAAATCAATCATTGAAGATATACGTGCTCTTTCTCTCTCTCTCTCTCTCTCTTTATATAATTTGTAATTGACAATTAAAAAAAAAGAATAATTCAGACTTTTGAGCTCTTTTTGCGTTACAGGAAAATTATTTGTCGGAAATTCAACGTGTTGAGTAACACGGAGCGCGATATTTTATTTTGGTGTCTCTATTGAGCTTTTGAAAGTGAAAGGTGTGACTCTTTTATTTTTCAAGTGACACGCACACATGGCAAACGTAAAAATTGGTAACCCGCCAGAAACGCGATTTGCACAGCGATATCTACGTTCGGACAGACGATATTTTTACGACGGTGTCAAAACGTGCGTATTTAAACAACGAGAGAAAAAACGTCGAATGAGAAAGTGGAAATTACCGAATGAAACTTTACTCGAAATAGTTCGCGTTACATGATGATTTTGTTTTTTTTGTTTTTTTTTTTTCTAATTGGAAAATTGTAATTATAAAAATAGCAAGTAATTTTCCGTCCAAAGACGACTGCGCAACAATCGCACTTCCGGCTGATCAGCTTCACCTGATCTCATACCAGATGCCACTCAATGCATTCGTTCAAATAATAACTCGCTTCAAATAATAACTCAAATGACGTGTATACACGTGTGTGTATGTGTGTGTGTGAACGTTGTCTGTCAAAATAACATGCTCTTGCATATAGACACCGGATTGCACAAACCGCTGTTCGCGCATAACTTCTAATTTTACGCTATTGTAGGCGCGCGTATGATAAAATATCTAATAATAAAATAATAAAATATCTAATAATAAAATAATAAAATATCTAATAATAAAATAATAAAATAATTTGTATCGATTAACGAAGACCTTATGAAGATCGATGTCCTGTTTGTATTTTGACTGTCATCGATGTATGTAAGTTTTTCAATAAAAAAAAATGTATATGTGTATAATTTTTTATTTTTTTTAATTTTGATTTCTCTTCTTTGTCTTTCTCTCGCTGTATCTTCAGTGTTTGCATTCGATTGTTATAAGTGGATTTTTTTATGTGTCTTAGGATGCTAGGAAGAGAAAAACTTTTGAAGGGGAAAATTCACGAGTATTCTGAGTGGAAACGTCACAGCATTGACAACGCCTTCTGTTATCGACCGCTTTTAACGATGAAGGCCAGAATAATCTTCCAGTACCGCGCGTTACTGTGTCAGTACGCACAAAGGTGAACGTGCCCAGTTGCACGCAGGATTCTTCCGGTACTCGGCAAATGATGCAACTCCACTGTCAAGTTATACATATCGCTTTAACATAAATTCTCTCTAAGAGAAATATTTTTCTAAATGTTCTGTACGTGTTGAAATGACGAAATTGATTTTTTTTTTTTTAAATGCTCACAAGCTTTAATTCTCCAACGAATAATCCTGAAGTCATGCTTCACTTAGCAATAGTCCGTTTTTTGCTTTTCGACAAGTGATTGTCAGTACAATGTCGCATTTGCGTTAAAAGCGCAATTATGACGAAACATTTTCAGATAGTTAAAGTTTGCGTTTATGGTTGCTGTTATTTCTATCAACATCTATTATATTAATATTATAGTACTTTGAATGTGTTGGAAGTACATGAAAGTCCGCTGCAAATATTTCTCATTGCGTTTTATTATACGAAAGTAACACTTATTATATCTATTGATAATTATTAAAAATAATAACAACTACTGTGTAATGTTATCGCTACCAATAATGTTATCGTAGAACATTTTGCAACATAAAAAACTTGAATTTACCAAACTGACACAATTATTAGAAATCTCCTTAAAAATTTTGTCAACCTTTGTTTTTCGACTAGACTGCGCATTTGACAAACATTGCGCTGTAAAAATATCTCGCACGCTGGATTACGCGTAAACGTGTGTGCGTGCGTATGTGTGCGCGTACATCTATTAAGAAGTCTCGGAGCAATGAAATAATATGTACCTCGAGACGATGTAAGAATTTTGGTAATACAGAGAGAGAGAGAGAGAGAGAGACGGTGTAGTAATCGAGAAATTAACAGGCTGATGAGTCGCGCACGACGACAGCGGCGTTGTTAAATGTCAGTCAAGGTCAAAGGTCGTTAGTGATAAGCCGAGTGTGCAAAATTTCTAACACAATCGGAGAAGAATGTGACACGATCGATATACCCGAAGAGGAGCACGCGTTTCTCCAATGAACGCAGGGATTTTTTCCCCTCCGCACGAAACAGCGGAGCGAGACTCACCTGGTCTGTGAACTGATTTTCGTGTCTGGGAACCGCCGCGAGATTGCCTTCGTGTAATCCACCTGATGGTTGGAGTGCGACTGAAACGAACTAGGCGAGCCGTCGTCGGTTTCAAAGTCTGTGGTGATTGCGTGTCTATCACGCGCGTGCGCTCTCGCTCTCGCGGGTGCTCAACCACATAGGGTCGTCAATGGCGAGGCGAGGAGGTACACGCGCGATCAGCTGGTCGAGATCGGCTTTCATTTTATTGACCCTAAAACCTGAGGTCAAAGGAAGAACGCGTCCTCTATGTGATTTTTCTCTGTCGATTTTTCTCTGTAATTACAATTAAAACAAAAAAAATTAATAAGTTAAAGGATGCATTCACAAATATTATTTAACAATGTGAGACTTGTTAAACACAAATACTATACGCAAAATAAATTTGATAAATTTAAGAAAAGCAGTCGCTGACATCACGAACATTGACATTTGTCAACGATAAATCACCAATCAATTAAGTTCAATTGGAGTGCTATCAAAAGATCACAAGAGAGTTTATTGAACGCAATCTTCTCAACGGGGATGATGTTCACGGTTGTCTCCACAACGCGCTACGTTACTCGCGCATACCACGTGGTGATGAGCCAATATGGGAAGGGTATCGGAGCGGGGATTCGCCGGGAATGACGACATATCGACCAGTAAAGATGAGTGAGTCCGCGCGCGCAAATGTATCGCACTGAGAACCGTCGCTTTAGAGGTCAGTCAAGGGCACCTTGCTCCGACATTCGTCGAGATTACATGCGAGCGTACATTTTTTTTTCAAAGATCGCCTAAGGTTAACGCACTCGCGTGCGCGCGTCACCACGCGTTCGGACGTGCCTCCTTTTTGCCTCGATCGTTGGACCTATCGCGTGTAAAAGTCCATTGATAAAAATGGGCTCGACCCTCGAACTTGTTCACCTTTGTTCTTATACTTACCAGTGAAACGACGAATAAAGCGATAACTTTTTCGGACTTTGTGACGAATCGACGTTGCCGAGGTTTTAACACATTAGTCAGTGAACTCGAAGATAGAAACAAACTGTTGCATAGATTTTGACAGCGATAATCTGTTTTGTACGACAATATCGCATTCAACGTTCTATAAAGATTACATTTCTCAACCGGAAAACAATGATTTCGCAAACACTGCTCAAACGTTGCGCGAACAATTGTTTTTATAACAACTTTAATTATGTGATGTTCTTACATCAATCTCAAATAACGTCGACGATCGTTGAAGCGCGTGTATCGTTCTTTGCGAGTTAACGACGCTTCGGAGCACAATTTGGCTCTTTTGAGGAGCATCTCTTGGGCTTCTTCTACCTTCTCCGGTTTGTTATTCCAAATTCTTCTCGCTGTATCCTACGAGAAGAGAAATGTCAAAACTGAAGTATTCTCGATTATTCAACTACTTGAACTGATTTTACTTGAAATTTCCTAAACAAAATTTGCAAACAACAGAAAGAAAATTTACGTAACAAATTTTATTTTCAATACATTCTAATAGATATGCGTCGATGATGAAATTCACATGCACCTGCAGAGCACGTCCATAGCAGAAACTGAGTCTCCATGGTTTCTTATCGTTGCACACGTTAATAGCGTTGAGATTCAAGATGGAGTTCTCGTCGGTTTGGCCGCCGCTTAGAAAAAATATCGCCGGAACTGCAACCGGAACTGTTCTCTTGAACGCTCTTATCGTGTATTCGGCAATGATCTGGTGTCGCGAATCAATGTATCAATGTATTAACGTCCAAGTTTTTACTTCAGTATAACGAGAATATTATCGCAAAACCCGTAATTCTCCAACTAACGTGATTACGACATACCTGTGGCGTGAATTGGATCACGTTCGTGATTCCCGGCAACACCATCGCCGTCTTCAGTATCATCCCTTCGAGGTACACGCGGTGCTCGTTCAGCACGCGGAACAAGATGGACAGCATCTCCTCGTGAACCTGCAACGCCCGATCGATATCGTGTTCACCTCTGCTGAGTACTTCCGGTTCCACTATAGGGACCATCCGCGCGCTCTGACAGATACTGGCGAATCTGAACAAGACGAGATATTCGAAAATACGTCGGCTAAAACATTTCGCGTCGCGCGAAAAAAATGGGACTTTGGCTCAGACAAATCTACATATTCCTATGCATCGCATTTTACTTTGCACGCGTGAATAACTGACGTTTCTACAATCTCATCAAATGTGAATCTTAGAAGGCCAGTTGTTCGAGCCACCGTTCTCCGATCACGTTAATCAGATCCGATTAAAGTTTGACGACCGTGATTGGTCAATTCGGTTGATCGATCAACGCTATTCAATTCTACCGGACTAAAACATCGGCCGAGTAATTTAAAACTTTCCAAAGCTGTTCGATTTATTTTAAACTCGTGACAACATTTAATGGCTAATTAACATAGAAATTAGGTTCTAATTATTATTTTATTATTATTGTTTTTTCTCAATACATTTCTCGACTTCGTACCTTTTCCGATTACTTTCTATTTGTTTCAAACATTTGAAATTATTTTGTAATATCGTCTATCGATTTCGTGGTCCATTCGGTTGCGAAATTTATTAGCTACAATGTGAACAGCTCGGGAAATGTACATATAATCGGAGATGATGTAAAACTGGTTCTCTCTTACTGATAATATACAACATTAATCTTCATTTAAAAAATCAACAAAGCTTGTTCCGACAGACATAGGGAAAATGTTTTACTGTGATTCCGCGCGTATCAAGTCTAAACACCTCGCAAGAACGTTTGCGTTAGTGGTCATGGCCAGCCGGCTGGGGCGTTGCTCCGAGATGGAAAAGACGCATCTCCACTTGGCAAAGTGACAGCCGTCCTTTTTGTAGCGAACGCAATTCCGATGCAAGTCGTCGAGACCCTGCGTGGTCGTCTCGTCTTCGGTACCGAAGAGCGGCACTTGGCCTTTGTCGACCTTCACGCCAGCCAGAATCTTTCTTCGGCGCAGGAACTCAACAAAATCCACGCCTTCCGACGTTGTCTGATAAATCATCTCGTGATGCAGAATCACGCCGCTGATGTATCGCGAGAGCTGCAAATAAAATAAAACACAAATCACGCGTATAAATGTTAATTGTCAACTACTGCACGCTATGAGTTTCTGAAAATTCATAACACAAGATCTAGTACTGTCTGTATATTTGAGGTTTTTATTGCGAATAGAATACAGTTATTGTTATTGTAAACAAAAACTTTTATCATGTTTTTTTTAGCAACCTTATTCGCAGACAGCAGCATCTCCCGATATTCGCGTCTCTTGGCCTCAGTGTTTTCAGCGCCGATCTCCTGGAACTTCTCGTCCATAGCCGACGGTGACTCGTCGCAGGCCAGCAATCCCTTTCCGGGCGCGGCGATCACTTCGATGATTTTCTCAAGCTCCAAGCGGAGTGCAAAATCGAGTTCGCGTTTGGTAACGGATGAAAATATCTGTCACGTATATATGCGCGAGAAGATTGGTGTCAGTTGAAAGATGCTCTTTGCAAGAGCAAAATATATTTGGAAGATAAATATTATCTAATTACTATTCCTTTTCGAAAACAATTTCACACTTTTAATCAATGTTATTAATTAACTTTGACGTCATGTTTGACGTTTAAGTTTCAGCTGCCGATACGTGCGAGAAAGTCTAAAGAGTAGAATAAATACATTTTTTAAACATTTCGATAATACAAAACAATCTTTACGAAACTGAAACAATTTGCGATATGACGCGAGATTGCGCGAGGTCTTGTTTACTTCACATAACCACTCTCTCGGTGATAAACGTAATCAATCTGTGTGAAAATAACGAGAGAAAACATGTTTACTTATTTATCTGCAGTTACTTATTTTTAACTCTTTCGAGTCCCGGATGAGTGACAAACGCATAAAAGCTGTGATAAAACTAAAGAATATCGAAAAAACGAAAGTAAAAAAACATTTTCATATAAAAATTACCTTGCTTTTGCAGCAACATTTTGGTTCCAATTGCATCATTTGTCAACGTTGATAGCGCATAATATGCTTCAGAATTTATCTGTCATATATGTATACTTGTGTGTTTGATTTATAAATTTTATAGATTTGTCACATGATTGGTAAATAAATACGAGACAATGTTTTGTTACACATAATTAACTTAATTTTCATTCATAAAGATGAGTGCAATAACAATCGATACTTTTTAAAATAGCGAAGTGAGTAGCACATTCGAAAATTTAAATTTAAATATGTGTACAAAATTAAACCTCGTTTTCGTCACTTACCGCCAAGGATATGTTCCAAAATCCTTAGTTACTATAAAATGTTATATTTTAAAATAACGTGTACTATTCCGCGCTATGTCCACAACGTGCGGTTCTACTCTGTTCACATTCTGAAAGGTTGAGTTCACATTTTGACGACTGATCAACTTCACTATCCTGACCGATAAAGTTCACATCCTGATCGGTTAGATTCGCTAACCGATATTTAGATCACTTAGGTCGGTTAGGTTCACACATTTTGATCGGTCAGGTTCGTGTAATCACCGATCAGTTAAGTTCATATCTCGGTTAGGGATCCGTATCTCGATAAATTAAAAATAAACAAATATAAAAAACTCAGACCTCGGCAATACCTCCGACTGGGTGGTTGGGCGCAGGGCTATCTTATCGCAGCGTGGTTTCGCGCCGATAAGACGTTTCCGATACCTGGTTTTTGTTAAACTTTTTTTTAAACCTGGCACGAAATAACTAGAAACTATATACTTTAAATGTATGTTAAAAAATTAATTACGAAAACGGAGTTATTTCGCACCGGCAATATACCTCCGATATATAACTTTTCTTCAATAAATTGTTTTGAAATCCGTTTTCTGAACGCATCCAAAGGTTGATTGAATTTCTAGTTGGAGCGATACGTATGGCGGAAGAACGAAGAATTGTCCAATCGGGAACAGAAACGAGCAATTTCTACGTTTGACGTATGAGGGAGGGTCCGTTGTTGTGTATCGTGCGATATAATGAAAAGTGAGGGAAGTTACTAAAATGATCTATGATCTTATTGGTCAGCAACTAGTAAATTTGCTCTTACTCTTTTGTAATTTTCATTATTTGTTCAAAGACGCGTTTCTTAATCAATTTTGTTGAGACAACAAGAGATGATTAGTATCTTTAGAGATGATGCGCCGGTCTTTGCTCTTCGTTAAAATAGACAGAGATGGAATAATGCGCTTCGTAGCATTTGCGGCGCAATGTGAACTCCGTATTTGGAAATCGGTCTTGAGTACGGCTTCTTGGTTTGAAAATAAGCAAGTCGTAGTCGTACTAGTCGTACGTAGATTGATGTATAATAAATGGAAGCATCGATGAGAAGGAAGTGTGTGCTCGTTTGACGATTAGTTACTTATAGAAGCGAATGAACTGCAACAGTTTGTGGATAAATTTCATTATTGAGATAAGACAAGGGGGAAGCATAAAAGACAGACCACCATTGACCACAACGATGGGCTGTAGCATACAGTGATTATGACGGAGGTTATATTTTTGTAGCGGCTTCTGAGTAAGTAAGCACGTAGAAAGATTTTGGAATGTAGTTTTTACGAACGATGGCGTTGAATGATAACGAAATCGACACGTTGCATTTTGTGATAAAAAGTTTGTTTTAAATGAAACAATTTTACGAAGCTTTGTCGCACGTGCACACACACGGTCGCGCGAGCGCGCGCGTACGTGTGTATGTATGGGAGGAGGAAAAAAAATTTACTTCGAGAATAATATGAAAATTATTTGATGAAATATTTACATACTTATAATTGTGTGAAAAAGAATGTAAGCTATATTTGTTTAATTGTTTTGATAGATTACAACAGTAATGAGTAGTTTGGAAAAGTTCGCTATGGATGTAGAACCTGAAAAAAGGAAGGAGAGCAAATTGAAGAGACCATCAACCTCTTCTTCCAATGATAATTCTGATAATAATAAAAAACGACGAAATATGTGTAGCAAAGATAAGAGGAAAAAATCAAAAAGCAGAAGTAATTCCAATAGCTCTAGTTCTTCCAGTTCTTCAAGTCTAGAAAAAAATACTCGTGTATCGAGAAGGGACAAGAGAGAAGACGAAAGAAACAAGAATGTAAATGAATATAGAGCTAAGAAGTATGAAAATGGTAGGGACTTTGGACGCAGTGGAAGCAGCAATTACAGATTTTACAAAAGGAGGAATAACTTTGCCGATCAGAGAAATTATAGAAATCATTCCCAATTTTACAGAAATACTTATTACAATAGGAACAGAAGGGAAGGATATAATAATAGACATAGAACATCTGGTTATCACAGACCAAGGTTATATGATTATCAGAGATATTCTGGCAAGGATGCAACTAGTCAGTCTATACGAGAGAGCAGTTCGAAGGAACGTGCAGATCGATCAAGAACTACCTCTAAAACAGAAAAATCTGACTTAATGAAAAATAACACAACACTTGATCAAGAAAAAGAGATAGAAAAAAAACCAGCAGACATGGTGCAAGACAAAGAAAATCCACTCATAAAAAGTCACAAAAAGTCAAAGAGAAAACGATCTTTGTCTACATCTAGTTCGTCAAGTGTCAGCAGTAGTAGCAGCAGCTCAAGCTCCAGTAGTAGCAGCTCCAGTAATAGCAGTAGCAGTGATACTGGCAGCACCAGCAGTAGCAGTAGTACTGAAAGCTCGGAAGACGAAAAAAAGCGAAAGAAAGCCAAGAAGAAGGCCAAAAAATTAAAGAAGATTATGAAAAAACGAAAGAAGAAGAAACGAAAGATGAAAAAGAAATTAAAGAAAAAGATGAGAAAAAGTGCGTCTAAGAAAAAAGGACACAAAAGATCTAAAGAGAGTAAAGAAAGTCAAGGCGGTAAAGAGATCACAAAAGAAATCGAGGCTAAAATGACAGAAAAATCGAAAGCAATGGCGCCTATGACAAGAGAGGAGTGGGAAAAAAGACAGAGCATTATGCGCAAAGTTTACGATGAGGAAACAGGAAGATATAGGTAAATATTATAGTAAAATAATAAAGAAATAAACTGATGTATTGAAAGCTGATGTGTACTTAGAATTTATCTTATTTAGATTTTTTTTAATATAAAAATGTGAATATTTTTATTTAGATTGATAAAAGGAGATGGAGAAGTATTGGAAGAAATAGTAAGTCGAGAAAGACACAAGGAAATTAACAAACAGGCTACCAAAGGAGACGGAGAATACTTCCAAGCGCGTATAAAAAATGCGATGTGAGCTATTTTTTTATAAAATTGTATTCTGATCGCAAGTATAATTTTAATATCTTTATTATACACCACTTGCATTCTGTTTGTGTCACATATCAACGTCAAAATAATTATTTCAAACACATTTATATGAAAAGTATGCAGATATATAAGAATTAAATAAATGATTGTAACCTGTGCACATAAGTAACAAATGTTTTGTTAAATTTATAACTTTTTTACAGTGTAGTTCACAATTCGATGATGCAAAATCGTAAATATTAGAAATAAACTTTTATTGTACATCGAATTTATCTCATCTTATAACACTCGTCTCGAGGAAAAATAAATTTAAAAAAATATATTCGTATATGTTAAATAAATTTTATTTAAAAAATTTAACACAATTTTCTAAATATTAAAAAAATTTATATTTTTCATGATCTGTGTAAAATATGTATTCTTATATGTTGAATAAATTTAATTTTAAAAAGTTATTTAACATATAAACTTTCTGAATATTTTATTAAATTTATTTTTCATGTGAGTTATGTGAACAAACATTGATAGTATTGGGCTTTATCAGTGACCAGAATGAAATGTGTTTATTATGTGTTTATTCTCTCTTAAGACTTTGAGATATTCGCGCTGCAGCCATCTTCTGACGTTGTAATTCAAGATGGCCAAAGTAACTATGGAGGTCGATCTGATTGAAAACAATTATATTTTTGTGTGTTTAATGTTGCGCAAAAGATATATGTTTGTTTTTTCTCAGAGAAACTTTTTCCTGTACAAAACTTTGTACACATGTTACTGTGTAATAACTTATATGTCAATAATGCATTTTAGACATGTACAGTAATACTTCATTAATGAGAACAAAATGTTTTCCGTACGTCCTTCATTCTTTGTAGCATTTCTTCCATGTTGCTTTTCTGAACAGAGCCAAAATCATCTTTGTGTTATTTCAAGAAGACATTATTTCACTCACACTCTATCTTGTTAAACAATTGTTTCTAAAATTACAGTTTCGTATACACTTTTAACGAGGTACTACTGTATATATTGATAAGAACGCAAATATATTTTTTTTTTTTTTTATCAAGCGTCGGTGGCAGTTATAGACGTTCCGCAAGATGTCGCATATAGTTCATGATATCCGTGTGAATCGAGGAAGTTGGTATGTGGGATTGTCTCGTCTTTGTATTTTATTTCTTTTTTTGACCAATAAAAAACTCAGCGTGAACTGAAAACCAGATAATATCAATCTCTCCATCTTGATCCAACTCACATCCTAATTCCGCATTTCTTTTGATATATCAGACAAATATCTTCATCTTGTGTTATTTCATCTTCTTGTGAATAACTTTCGATTTTTTGTGTGATTAGAAAATTTACATTTTTAACTTCAAAGTACACACACGATCATGTCTGTCTATGCAAGCTACTCATTTGTTTCAACATTTTTTAATAGATTGTCACTCGATTCTAATTAACGACTCACCGATCTTACGAACTATTATTTCAATTTTTTAAGGCAAGGGTAAAGAAGCAGAGAGATAACACATTATATATATATGTATATAAATAAACTCATGTGTATCAAGATAACAGGTTTTTTCTTTAGCTTCTCAAGTATTGCGTACGTTCATTTGTGGCAGAAGAGTACGTACACTTAGATTTTGTAACATATTTTTTATGCGCTAACTTTTTTTTTAATTTCGTGTTTGTTGCATTTCTCCTCTATAAATGCGAATTTCAAAGTTGCACACGCCCGATCATACGTTGTGTAATTAATAATAATTTTTTGTTATTGTGTCACATCTCTTGTGTCATCTTTCAAATTTCTCCGAAATTTTAATTTTCTCCGATAAGAGAATCTCATCGTTTCGCAGTGAGAAAAATTAGGTCATAATTTTTATGCGCAAATTCCACGTGAGAATCCTTTTTCACTCTTAAAAGAGAAATTACATGGTCGACCTCCTTGATTATCAATTTCAACGCTTCGTAAACACTTCGTCCGCGATGAAGAGAGAAGGAACCGATCACGCGGCATTTGAGTTGTAATAGTGCATCCGTTCGCTGCGCGAGAGATACGCGTACCAGTAGAAGAGATTGATGGCGAGGAAGAAGAGAGGAAACACCACGCGACTCGCGCGATCAATCTTCGACACCGAGTTGTACCTGGGGGCACGTCGTCGGCGTCGTCGCCTGGACGTGGACGACGTTGTGCGTCGAGACGGCGGTGGCGGCGGCAAAGTTCGTCGCGGAGATGGGCTACAGCTTACACAGGATACCTGCCAATGACCGGCCACAGCGGAATCCTTATTTGGTATCGAGATCGCCGACAGCGGTATCACCTCGATCGTGCTATCGTTGCTCATCGCAAAGCGATTTCCGCGTCCTCGCGCACCGGAACTCGAAGAGCTCTTCCTGCGAGTCTGAAATCATTTTTGTACAAACGAGGCGAAATGTTAATTTTTTACAGAACAAAACATTTTTTACAGAACAAAAGGTGATGTTATTGTATTCTAAAAGAAATTTATTAAAGAAAAATTTTTTTTAAATCGAATTGTTACATAGAACAAGAATATATTGATGGATTTCTCTACAAAACGATTTTAAACAATTTAGAACTGTTCTGCAAAGTGATCCATCGATGTAACAAGACTAACGTGTCAATTAAAACATATAAATTTAAAGAGGTGGAAAAAAGACAATCAGTAAAATCGATAATTTTTTTGAAACGACGCGTTTACCGGTTGACTTCTCGCCGGTCTTCTGTCCGCGTCTTCTTCCTCGCTCGAGCTTTCGGTTTCGCTCAAATCCGAACTGAAGTAACATTCGCCCGAACCGTACTTGGTGAAATAATGCACCACCGCGAACTGTATGATGGTGGCAAAGATAAACGCGAACGAAAGAAAGACAAAGAAATCCAGGGCAGTGGGATAAGGAACTTTCGGCAGGTCGGTTCTGGCTTCGAGCCCCAAAAATGTCATCGTCAACACAGTAGTTATACCTGAAACAAAAGAGGTACAATATATGAATCGATGAAACCACCCTCCATATAAGTACATACTTATAGAAAATAACAGATAATAAATTAATAACTTGAAAATTATAATAATAGATTAAAAAACTTAAAAAAAAAAAATAGATAATAAACTTAAATACTAATGTAAATATTTTGTAGAAAAAAAAGCGATTTTATACAAATAAAACTGTGACGATGTGTTATCGCAAATTATATAGTTCGAGGATTTGGAGATACGCAACTGTACGTTTCATAATGACACAAAAGGCAGATGTTGCTTTTGATTGTCGGTGCGGCAAAGTTAAGCTTAACAAAGCCGGAAGTTGTTGGCGCGCCTTTGCGACGCACTGAGAAATGCTTGCACGTTAAATTATGCGGTTTGTGTGCTTTCGCGCTTGCGGTTATAGCGCACACAGATTTCCTTTTGATGCAATTTGTTCGCGCCGCGTTAAATTCGCTCACACGTGTTTGCACCACGCATCTCTCTCTTTCTCTCTCTCTCTCTCTCTCTCTCTTTCGCGAAACGTTTTACGTATGTACAATGTATAATATATATAAAAGCGCGGCTTTTGTATATCGCAACGCGGACGAGAATTTATCAATAAACGCTTCAATTATTTATAATAAGCGGCTTTTTTTTTTTTTACCAAGCGAAACTCGATCGGCGGTAGCTTCTCTGTTCAACCAGAAGGAGACCCACGACAGGACGACCAGCAGAATGCAAGGACCGTACACCTGTATCAGGAAGTTACCCATGTGCCTTTGCAAGTGGAAGTACACCAGGAGCATCGAGTACTCTGAAATATATTTTATAATTTTTATAACTGAGAAATAGAATATGCCCATTGTATAACTCACGACGTTTTCTCGCGAATGAATGAAAATATTTGAATAACTGTGCTTTCGACAAAAAAAAAAAAATCCAAACACAGACGGTTCAAACAAACCGATTCGAGCGATTTCTCATTCGGCTTGCGATCGCATCACTGCAAAATATTTTCAAAACAAATACAAAAAAAAATAGTTTTTTAGAAGTATTTAAATATACGGATTTCTTCTGTCGAGATTCAGAAAAAAATAGGATTTTCGTTATTATAGCAACGAGATCGCGATCGAAAATGTAATTGTTGCGACGACCGTTCTTCCGACGACGCTATTAATCGAATCTCTTCAACTCGTCGTCGAATCCGCGTTGACCTGACGACTTGCGAAGCGAGTTTTCCGCCAATAAGCGCGCAATCAAATCAGAGACGGAGGCCGAGGAGCGGCTGCTGTCTCGCGCCACCCCCGTTTTACTAATCGATAATAATCCAATTAAAATTCGCAACCGAATCTGTGAATTTTCCAAGTTTTGCTGGCCACTGACGACGGACAATAGAAACTCCGGCAAGAAAGGAGAGAAAGGCAAGGAATCGTCGTCTTTCAAAGGAGACTGCAATTAGTCGTCGCTTCTACACGTCGACTTACGGCACAATCCTTCCCTTGTTCTTCCTCCCGTCCTCGATATTCGCGAGAACACGAGAGGCGCAAAATACTTCTGTTTCTCGACCGAGTTCTTTCAAATTTTTTTTTTTTTTTTTTTTGACTGCAGATTTTTTTGTGTCATCGGGTATGATTTTAATTTGTGCTTGAATTAAATATTATTATTGTTATTATTATTTTGACTTTGTTGTGTTATTTTATTTTGTCACTTTTGTCAGTTATAGCTTTTTTTATCCGCAATATTTATTTTATATCGTTGACGCACACGCCGGTATCATATTTATTTATCCCCACAGCCGCGATATTTCATTCTTCGTTTTTTATGTACTTTAATTTTACGGCGCGAAATACTCTTTTTTTTTTTTTTTTATCGCGCGACAAGAAGCGCGTGTCGAGTAAAAAACCGGGTGATCTTGATTTCGTTTACATCAAATCCATTTCGCTCACCATGCGAAAATCCCGGCGCAGTCGAGTGATTTGCGGTGGGATTGGCGACCAGATCAAATTGCGACAGCTTCATGTCCTCCGCTATAGCGACCTGCCTCGCGCTGTTCCACTTGTAGATCACGTCGCGCGCCGTGTAGCCAACTGTAAACGGTTCAATTTGACGTTGACAGAGAAAAAAATACCGACTGACGTCCTATAAAAAATATAATCGACTCCGACCGTTTATTTAAATACATGCAATTTCATTAAAATGTCAAAAATCTACAACGTATGAGAGATGACAGAAATACAACACTTGTCATTTAAATTATCGATTGATTGCTTTTTAATGCAGATTAAACAAAAGAAAATTGTGAGTTTAGTAACATCTTCGGTGGGGGATTAAACGGAGGAATAACTAAATCGTCGCTAAAAAAAAAACAAAACAAAAACTTACAGCTGCCAAACTGCAACGGACATCTCTGCGTGTCCATCGGAAAGTCCTCGAGATTCATCGGACATCCCGCTTTGATCGTGAGTCTGTGGAACGAATTCAACAAACTTCGAAACTGTTATAAGATGTCTCGAATATGCAAATTGTGTTTGTGAAAGTTAAATAAACTCAAATCTTTCAATTTTTTTTTTCAACTCGAAAACTATTAACGCCTCGATATTTTAAATGTCTTCTAACGGACGGTGTTAAGTTTTTTAGTTTCATTTTATTATAATAATTGCGATATCTTCGAGTCGATAAAGTTGTAAATGTCAGGTACACTTTGTTACACGTTGAATGAGATAAAGAGAAATTACATCATCACGCGTGCGAAATAATGTTCGATCGGACGTGAATTTCGATTTTCTCGCGTTTTGTTTCGCGAAAGGGCATAAGACGTACGTGCAAGATACATTTGGCCTAAATCGATTCGCATCTGATCGAGTTATCGCACTGCGTGGTTTAACTCCTCCTCCGTCGTGGGAGGCAGGATGGACTGGAGGATGAGACGATCCGTAACTAATCGGATCCATCATCCTACACTCCAGAGGCTCGCTCGATCGCTCAATTTGCAGCACAGGCATGCGTTTCCGCACTCCAGCTTGCGCATCGCGAGACGACGACGTCTGAGGAACGCGTCTGACGAATCGCGTCTGTTAAATCGCGCTGCGAATTTTTCGGAAGATTGCAAAACTTTTGCTCCCGTTTACTCTCCGTGACTTTTTTTTTTTAACACACATCCCTCCTCTCCCTTTCGAATTATTTTACCGAACTTCATCTTCGCGAGGAGTAAAACCGATGCTATTACGACGACGACGTTCCTATATTTCGAGACAGTTATTTCTTTCCGTTTATTATTAAAAGAATTGAGAATAAATGACGTAAAGATATTCATTTATAATTGCAAAAAAATTCAAATTACAATATAAGAAGAACGAGAGATGAAGAATAGGGAAAAAGCGATGAACGTACACAAGAAGATAAATCGACCCGTCAATACAATACGTGAAAAAACTAAAAATAAAAAATTTTCGTTGTTTCTTCCTCACAGACAGAATATTTCTCTTTCATGTATCTTGGCAGTGCGCGCCGAAGATGAGAGAGAGAGAGAGAGAGAGAGAGAGATACATGCTACATTTTCAAAGATACTCGACTCGGGTAATTTGCCGCAAACGATTTTCCGTTATCGTTCTAGCGTCGCGACTACTTTTTATCTTCCCGGTGAGGTCAAATCCGGCGATACACTACTTCTCTCACAACCGTGTCAAAAAAAGAAAGAGAGCTTCGATTATTCTTCTATGACCGGGATGTATTCGAAAATCCCGTCTTACGCGTTCGCTTTACACAAACCGTATCTCTCTCACTGGCTAACGCGCATCAACTTAAACTCATCTTAAATACAAGATTCGAACTGTGAACGACTGTTTTGCGAGACCGAGTCGTTCTTCGAATGACAAGAAAGCGCCCGCAAAATCTTGTCGTGTGTTTTTAAAAATTGAAACATTTTCGATTGTGTGTTTGACGTAATAGAAAACCAAACGAAACCCGAGCTCGCGTGTACACGTTTACGAGCGAGCGCAAACAAAAAAGCACGTGAGCAAAAAGGAAGAAGTTCTCTTCGTATAACGCACACACAGTTGACAGTTTTGTTTTGAAATTATTAGATACAATTTACTTTTGGCCTGACTCCGCGTAGTGACATTTTATTGTAAAAGATTCAGTTAAATCTAAAGAAATATCTGTCATCACAAGTTTACCGTGACGGAAGAGTAATCTCTCTCTGTGCCGCGCCGTCTCGCGAAAGAGCGTCGTAACGAATCGACTTTTTACAAATTACGGACATTTAAGTGCACCGAAAGTTTCGGACTCGAGACGACGTTTCAAAGAGCAAAGTCCGCGCGCAAGAACTTCGCGAGCCGCGTCCTGAGAATTTACGTGGGACGCGTTGTACGAACACGGCTGTTCTCTCCAACAGAAACTCGCACGAATTCTATGCTACACAATAAAACATATTCTTCTCCCCTCTTTTCTATCGAGAAGGAGAGAAAGAGGGATGTAAGCGAAAGTAAAAGTTTTATTTCCTTCGTAATGGTGAATTTCCACCGTCTCGTGAATAATGAGACAAGCGCGACCGAAGAAACGTGCGGTATAAAAAAACGAAGTCGAGCGAGATAAGATTAAAAAGAACGAAGAAGAGGAGAGGGGAGGGGGAAGCACGAGAAAAAAGAATTAAACGGCGAAGTTTAACCGCGCGTCACCGAAAATAAATAATTCACGCTAATCTTGAGGCAGAACCACAGCGTTGCGGTTCCCAACCGATTTTTTATCGAACGGACGCTTTAAAAGCGTGAACAGAATGCCGTAAAAAAAAAAAAAAAAGATTAAAGCGGAGAGAACGAACGAAACGACGGATGAAGTTGTGTGCGGCGAGAAAAGAGAAACGGGAGATCGCGGGACAAACTCAACAGATTTTCCGCGACAAGCGTCACAGATGCGACGTCTGGCTTTCTCTGAACCGGCAATTAAAGCAAAGCCCTAATCCAGACGTCCTCCTCTGACGACAATAGACGGCGAAACACGTCGGAAAATCCCGCGCGATTGTCGAGAAGTTTCGAGAGAAATCGTTTTCTTCTGATTTTCCGCAACACGGACTTGGCGCGCGCGCTAATCGAAGTTTTGCGACGTTAATTCAGTCGCGCGAACGGTCTCCACGGTCGAGCGCCAAACTTGTCGCGTCAATATAACAGTCCATTAAACACAAACATTTTATATCGGTAAGAACCCTCAAGAAATTTTGATTTCAATTTATTACCGAGAGAAAAACGCGTTCTCTCTTTCTTTCTTTTTCGTGAATTATTTCTACGTTTATTTGTTCAACTCTTCTGGTTGACCGCGATTTTATAATTCTAAAATTAATCACCTTGACTCGTAAAGATGAAATCTGGGAGAAACAAACGTTTATGTGTTTCCGATTTCTCTATTTCACACTTCGTCGAAAATTCTCAAGCGTTGTTTGTTCATTGCGCGTTGATTTTTGCGAAGGAAAAAAAAAACGAAATTTCCGCCGACAAAAAAAACTCTATATCTTTCTGTCTCGACGGATACCGGATATAAAGTTTCGATCGTTTCCCAGCAATTTCCCTTCGCCGCAAATTTTCCACAGGTCCGTCGCGCGCGCGTTCGCGAAAATTTCACCGACTTTAAATCTCACTCACGTGTCGCGCAACGAAGCGTAAGGTATGATTTTAGAATCTCACGGAGTACGTATGCTAATCGAGAGCGCCGTTTATTTTCATGCAAACGAGATCATCCTCCTTCCCTTGTCGGGGGGCTAAAACGCGCGCGCTAACGTTCTCCGGCGCGCAACCACAAGTACACGTTACATTCCTCTTTTTGATTGATTTAGACCGCGCCCGCGCTTTTCATCCCGCGCGTTACGCGGGAATATTTATCGGCTAATCCCGCGTCCCGCGATCGAGTTGACAGCGATGACGTGAAAAAAACAAGAGTTGATAGATTATCGAGAAATTCGCGACGGACGCCCGGCTATTCGATATTCACGTTATGTCCAATGTGATCTGTTGTTCGGAGAGGAAAAAAATCAGTAACGCGCAATACGCAATTTACGAGGTTACACGTGTGTTACAAACTGTGTGTCTATGGTTTTCCAAACACTAATTGAAACATTGCTTTCGACATTTTTTAACGCGAATTATACGAGGTCACGTGTGTGTTGGCGGAGTTTTCTTTTTTTAAACACCAATTATTATCACTTACGAGCCAGCCAATGTTTGTTTTTTTTTTTCTTAAATTTTGCTTCGGAAAGAGATAAAAGAGTTAAACCACAACTTTAACCGAGGATGCGGGTATTTGCATCCGCGATGCACTCACGCGAGGATCCAGAGTTTAGTTACTTTCTTGTGAACGGATCGCTCATCCGGATCCCGATCGGGTGTATGTGTAAGATACATCTGGAAAGTCCTTATAAAGGTTAAGAGAGAGAAAGAAATAAACCTCTGCATGGTTTTAGTGTACAGTTTATGCTTGACATATTCTAAGGGAATTGGAGCTTTCTCTCTCTCTCTCTCTCTTCTTTCTGAAAATGCAACGAGTTGCTGCAACGAATCGTTCTTCCATTCATGCGTGCACGTAGTTCATCCTTGATACGCCTTTCGATGCGGATCCCACCCTCCCTTCTCGAGATCCGATCTCTCTCGGTTTCTCTACCACCCTTTCTCCCCCGTTCGTGTTTGCCTCGCCGGTTATTAGTGCGCCTCGAGAATTTGCTTGCTCTCCATGTTGCCGCGATCAGGATAGAGCCGAGGGTTTGACTAGCAAAATCTCGCTATCAGCAGACATATACCGATGAGAACCTATAACTCTCCAAGCGAAAGCCGCGTGCATTTTCGGAAACGTGAAATTTTATTTTGCTTCAACATCTCGAGATTTTTTAAATATACAACAGATCGAGATTTCTCTATTTGCTCTTTTTTGTATTTTTCTGCGACAAACAAAATTAATTAAAAATTACTGCCGAAGCAAATTGTTTTTCTTTAAAGAAATGTAGTGAAGCGCTAGAAAAAAAAAGTCACGTTTTTTCGTAATCGTAATTTAAATCGTACGTAAAAACAAGAATGTTTACAATTCTTGATCAGTCCGATATCGCGCGAACGTTCTCCGCTTTATAATCTCGCGAGGGGATTTTCGTAAAACCGGTCGCGGCAACGACATTAATTTAAATGCAGATTGCACAATCACTCTTGATTTTCCGCGACGTTGACGGTGAGAATTCTTGATTTTTCACCGCTCTGCGAGATTTCGTTAACTTCGGCTTTTAAGCGTCTCTCTCTCTCGACATGCGTAGGACGCAGGATTACCGTCAGAATCACTTTTTTTTTTTTGCGCCAGTGTCTCAGTGCGCACCGAGAAATACGTCGAAATAAAAGACAAAACATATGTCGACTGTTTTAATCGAGTTTAAACGAAAACCATGTTTAACGTCTGGTTTTGTTTAAAAATATAATATTCAGAAGAAAAATATATTGCGCGAAGAAGAAGACACGATTAACCGGAATCATTGTCGCAATTGCATCTGTCCGCGGACTCGGCAGACACGTTGATATCGGCGAATTCCGGATCTCGAGTTGCGTCGTTTGATTTCAGACGAGTCACGACGACCGAATAAAATGCGACTGCGCGGCTAATAAAATGTCGGGTAAATAACACCGCGAACGTGATCGCGACGTTTTCCAGTTTAAATGGAGCCAGTCGGTCAGAGAAAGGTACACGAGACCCTCGTTTTTCAAAGAACGCTCGAGAAGATGAAGCGGCGATTGCACAAAAGCGCTCTCTCTCTCCTCCGCTTCCTTCGAGTCGCTCGAAGAGAAGCTTTCGCGTAATTATCTTCAAGCGCGCCGTTATCCACCTTACACTTGATGCTTAACAAGTAACATTTGATTTCCGCCAAGAGTGGAAAAAGAAATTTTGCGAAAATTTCGTTTGAGAAATGCAGCGCGCTCGAAGAAAACGAAATTAAAACATAATTAAAATTTCCGAGATTTTACATCAGAAAGGTGTAGGTGTGTGTCGCACAATTATAAGATTAAATTTATATTAAATTGTATGAAAGAAATAATAAAGCCGGTAAGAGCCAAACCCTGAACAAAATAATATTGTTTTAACGTGTAAGTTGACACACATATTGCAACAATTATTATTCTATCATATATAATTGAATATACTCGCTATTTCTCTCATATAATTAAATTGTACAAGAGAACCTTAGCGCAATCAGTACAATTGAAATATATTTGTTGAAATAAAATAATTTTTAATTAAAACATTAAGTTTAAGTGCATACAGTTTTCTAATATATATTTATTATCGACAGTTTCTATTTATGACGCTTACTTGAATTTAATTGTTTCGGAAAATTGTATATAACGTAAATAAATTAATACGTGTAAAAGTAAAGAAATATCCAGAGAGAGTGATAAAATTGTAGAGTCTCTTATTGAAAATCGAGATGTTTGATTTCAAGAGTTATATAATTGAATAAATTGATTGACACATTCGATATAAATATTAATTTCCCGGCAAATTAAACCACGTATTCCTTTCACGCTCGTGTAAATTTCAAAACGCGATAAGCGTTATCTCCGCGTTAGCACATCGCTAGCTCATTCATGATTGATGAATATGACGAACATTTAAAAATGTAAAAAACTCGGTGTACTGTGTTTTCTCTGTCGTTATTGCGCACACTTTTGCGCAAATTCGAATTATCTCTTATCAAATCCGTTCAATCGTTATACACGATAATCGCAGTTGTTACATTTTTAAATAAAAAAGCGAAAAGAGTTAAAGCCAAATCAATAATCCAATTGCGATATCAAATATGCGAACGAACTTTAATCACGTGACTTTAAAAACGTGACAGGGAGGAGAGAAAAAACAACACGTGACTAAAGTCACGTGTGTCTTTAAAAACCGGATTGAAACGTCACAGTACGCGCGCCAACACACACTGTGTTTCAACAACTTGTTGAAGACAAGTTTTCACGAGTACCAATGAAGCCTAAATTAATGATGCCAACTACCTTCTCTCGGCAAACTCGACGAGGATTGAAACTCGACGATACCGTGGTAGAATGATGTGTAATGTGTCTAAGTTTGTTATTTATGCGAAAGTCGTGCCAGACAAGACTTTCGCGTTGTTGTTGTCGGTCAAGCCAGGAGAGATACAGATACATGGGAGAGGTTTCAAAATCGACCGTTGTTCTCTCTTTGTTAATCCGTTCCCTTTCTCTTGACCTAGTCCTAGTCTTCCGAATCGTTCCTATTATGTGTGCGCACGGCAGAATTAGTTGTCGAAATTTCGAGATACGGAGGACCTTGCACGTGTCACGTCGAAAAAAAAAAGATATATGCCAGAGACGTACTTCGATCTTTCGCGCGTCTTGTCAGTTTTAGATGGCGAGATTACACGCGTCGCGTTCACAGAATCGCGAAGACACAATAAGGACTCGTGCGAGAGATCAGTTGCTCTTTTTTTTTGTCGATCTCTGAGCTTTTAGACCGAATTCGCGATTCTTACGGAATCGTTTCCGCGGAGGAAACTTTAAGTAACATTTTTTGAGAGCGAAAACAAAGTTCAATCCCAATCAGTCTGTATACTTCTACGATATGTGTCTAAAAAATTCTTATATTGTAAAATGTCTTGAGGGACAAGAAAAAAAATGCGATAAAAGAGAAAGCAATGCTTTTCATAAACTCTGATAACAGATAATATTCAGTCGTTGTCCCGGTCGTAAATCTCACGAAGCGATCTCACGTATAGTGATCGATTTTGCGAGATCGTTGTGTTCTCATGACTTTCTGAAAGAAACGTCTTTTTTATGCATAAATAAGAGCGATAAAACGCGAAAGAACATCTCTTTTGTAATCGAGCACTTTGATTCAAAAATGAATATATATTTACGACATTACAAGTACTGAATGTTTTTATATGCTAAAAGCACGTCGTATCTCAATAAAACAGTGAAACCCCTTCTCTCTGCAAAATTCACAAATGTTCGTGAGAGAAAAGAAATATATTACGTAATTATAATATAAATCTCTCTCTGACCTTGAACTGTAAAGCACTCGTCCGTCCTGGTAAAGCCTGACGAATTTATTTGGACTGGTGATGGTATGCAAGTAACTGTGCTTGCCGTTGTAGAAATACGTGTCGGGTTTCCAGATCCTCGCTAACATAGAAATGCTCAGGGCGAGCGTTTCCTTGCCGCTTTGAAATGCCAAACGCCTGTCGACCCACGATTGTCGGAAGTAACAGTCCATCGAGTACGTCTGCGGAAAATTCATTTAAATCCATTCAACATCGACTGTATATATTTATTATAGTACGATTAATAGTAATAATAAATAATGTCATATATTAATTTTAATAATAAATAATATGATATATATATATAAATTTTTTTTTTTTTCAGTTCCACGAGATATACAAAAATGTTTTGAAAAATCCCGACCTCTCTGTGTGATCGGAGTTCCCGTATTGTTTGTTTTTCTGAAAAAACTGAGAACGATTCTGTGATCGTTCACCGCGCACACTGCCGCATGAAACACAAAAACAAAGAAATACGACTGACCATATCCACTTCGGAAATGGGGCCCATGCTGCGTACCATGATATCGACCTCGACGGTGGCCGGAGGCCCGCCGAAGTCCGGCCTAATGCTGTTGTCGTAGCCGCGCAGCAGATTATCCAGCAGATCGCTGATGTTGCTGTGGTTGTTCCTCTGTGTTCGTTGACCGACGGTGGTTCTCGCGTCCGCGGCTGCTCTGAAACAAGCGTCGCAATTTCGTTGGTGAATCCAGTCGAGCTGAACGCGATCGCTCGTGTCCAGCACAGGCAATGAGTCTGTCTCTCGTGTAACCGGGAGAATTCTGTCGCGGAAACGAAGCGCTCGAATATTATTTCAACGGAGTTAAGTTTTTTCAAATTTAAATGCACGTTCTGACAAATTATCTTTTTTTTTTTTTACAAATCGTGAAGTTGCTGAATTTTTACGCGTCGCGAGGGAAAAAGAAGTTACACGTCGATGTTATTTCGAGCGCACGACAGATTCGCCGAAAAGTCGCCGAATTGAAAAGTGTGAACCACGCAGCGATCAACTTGTTCGATTGATTCGCGCTAACAATGCGCGCGAGAGCGAGCTCGAATGGCATTCGATTGTAAGAGGATGTACAATTAGTATCCGAGTATCGGAGTTCCAAATGCCTGTATAAGCGTGATGTCCGTGTGTATTGATTCATCTGCGCCTCGCGCACGTGTGCGTTGGTGCGACAATTGCGCGGGATGTGTATAAACTCTTGTTTTCAATTTTTCTCAAAAATTTCAGATTTTCATAGAGATATGCACGTTATATGCACGTTTTGACACATCATGAAGAGAAATATAGAAATATTTTCGTAAATATATGTAATATATATAATCGTACTTGTGCTCACGTCACTTTTCCACATATTGTTGCACATCGGGCAACGATATTTGCGGAGGAAACGGTGCATTAATATTTGCAAGTTAATCGATTGTAATCAAATGGACCAAATCATTTTCATTATTAATTAATTAAGCAACGTTTATGGAGAAAGAATATTCCGGGAAACAGTTTCTATTCATGTATTCGATAGAACCGAATTAAACGAGAGTCTTGATGAAATACCTTCAATTATACGAGCCATCCAACAAGCGACGAGCGAGCACGCGCGCGTTCTCTCGTCGAGAAAATTTTTATTACGCGGTCAAAAGATCGCATCGCCGCCCCGTTCGTTTACACAAACGAATGCGTAATCACTCGCGTGATTTATAAATTGCTGTCTCGTCGAATTTAAATGAAAAAAAAAGAAAAGAAAAAATGTCGTGTTTCGCCACATAAATTCCGTTTAATTGCCGTCATCAAAATGCACAGAGAATTAAAACGTCACACAAAGATCATTTTCTCGCAGATTGGAACTTACAAAAAGGATACGTAAGAAGTGATGAGGTTGGCGAGGAGCAGAACTACAGGCTTCATGATGTGTGTTTCCTCGTTTTTTCCTCGTGCGAAGACTCGCTTCTCACTTCGACTTAACAATAGAATTTTTTGCTATTTCAAGTGCTGCAACAAAAGTCAGTGTAATATTGTCGAAGATAAATGTGTTAAAGAACTTGTAAAAAAAAGAACGTGTAAAAAAAAAAAAAACAAATATTGAAAATATGTTAGAAATATTCGAAAATAATTTATTTCACGCATCTCTTATTATCACGCGATGAAGCAACATTTTCAAATATATTTCGCGCGTCTCTTAATTGCGCGTGGGAAAGAAAGGATGCAAATCAACAAAAATACATTCACGTATAAAATAAATCAGATAATACATACACGTAATAAATAAATCAGATTTCTTTATTTTGTCCGTCGTTTTGTTTCAATTATTTCCCTCGTATATGTAACTCCAACACAATGACGAGTTCTTTTTTACTCCGCGTTAATTTCTCCTCGACAATGCGAGCAAGAATAGATCCGCTGCTGATTGCGTTTTTTTTTTTGCAATAGCGAAGGATAACATCGTGTGAAATTGTCACGTTTTTCGCGAGTCAATAGAAGTGTGTGTGTGTGTGTGTG